ATTCCTGCAGCATAGGTATTTAATTTACGCTAGAACTCAAAATGAAATTAGATTAACTGGCCAGGTTTTGGTTGACTGTGTCCCTCCCCTCTAGTCATTCTTGACCATCAGTGCAGTTCCTTTTAATACTTTAATTTAGTATAACTCGGGTTTGTTCTGGTTTTTTCCTTTTGTTTTGGTGTGAGTTCAGCTGTGGAATTGTGTGTCTTTAGGATTATGCAGTAACAGAGGATTACTATAAATTAACCCCCTCCTTTTCCTCTGCATGTGACAGTCCCCAAACCTGGCTTGTCTTGCAAGAGCTATTCCTTATCCGAAGCAGTAGTAGCCAGTAGATCCCTATATTAGTTTATATCTTTGACTCTTTATTGGCTTCCATGCTTTTGCCTTTTTCACAGGGCTGCTGCCCTGGGTGATACTTGCTCCTTAGGGTCATAAGAGTCTAAATTACTCTCAAAATAATGTGCAATGGCTTCAGAGCTAAGATCTTCTACTCTTGAAAAATGGGATACGTATTTCTTGATAATCCAGATCAAGATGATTTTAGATGCATGTCTTACCTATGAAAAGTGGCTTAATCAAAAAATGGCTTAAAAAGAAACACACTGACACAATGTAATTTAATTGAACAGATGACTCCATATTATTTATAAATAAATGGATTTGGTATCTTCACATAAGAACTTCAGAAAGATTAGAATTTTCCAAAACTATAGAATACTAGACATTAAAAATTATCTTTGTAATCTTTTTTGAAGGTATTGTGTACTTCAGCATACTGGGACAGGGTTCTGAGTTTGGAGCCATCAAACGGGCTTATCTGCCCACATTTGACAGCAGTAGGAACAATCCTGCAAAGGAAGTTGACTTGAATCTCAAATATATAGTTAATCCTGATGGGTTAGCTGTTGACTGGGTTGGAAGGTAAGTGCACTGAAAAGCTAGAAAAATGTTGTACATTGAATATGTCAAGAGTCTGATCAGGCAGTGCCAAATCCACTTTCTTCTTCTTTATGAACTGTCTTAGAAGGTATCTAGTCTCAAGGTAGTTCAGAAGAACACAGTAAGCTCTGTTTGCCCAGACAGCAGGTTATTAGGTCAAATGCATGTTGCTGATGGCATCACATATTCTCTGAGGAAGCTTGCATTACTGCACAACTGGCAGATCAGTTGTGCATCAGTAATGTGAAAATACACTGGCCTTCATGTCAGATGAATTCTTCTATGACTTTTGGAAGTTTGACTCCAATGTTGCAATGTAACTGTTAAAGGATATGGTGGACAGGCATAGCTGTAGTTCATTTGATATACTGCTGAGAGGATTCTGATGGCTGTAGATAGTCATGATTAAGTACAGCCAGGATTCTGTTCGAAGCTGAATGAACAGAGGTTATAGAGGTGAGTCAATCCTCTGAACGCTATTGGCAAATTTTGAATATAATGCAGTCAATAGGGTGAAGAGGAAGGGATGGTAAGATCATAGTAAAGCGTGATGTTTCTGGAAAGCTGAAAAATAAAAGAAGTAACTTAGCTATCTGCTTCCCCTTTGTCACACAGTTATCAACTAAGTGGATGAATACTTTGCACTTCAGATGTGATCAATGCAGCTTCATTATTAATTTTCTTTGGGTTTGATAAGGCTTTTCTTAAATTTTTTCTTTTTTCTTTTTTTTTTTTTAAATTCCTCTCCCAAGTATAAACTCTTTACTTTTGGACTGTTTTGTGTTTTCTGTAATTCAGACATCTTTACTGGACTGATGCAGGGACTAATCGCATAGAGGTGGCAAAATTAGATGGACGGTACAGAAAATGGCTTATCTTTTCTTTACTGGATCAACCAGCAGCTATTGCTGTCAATCCAAAACGTGGGTAAGTACTACAGAGCTTACCCAGAATTATTCTGAATGTTATTGAATAACCACCCCCCCCCCAACTTCACAGGAAAGACTAAGGGAATGCTTTCTTAAGTTTTCATTTGCTAATGTTAGGAAATTTGTGTACATGAGAAGTTATTTTGGGATTAGATTTCGTATGGGTACTTGTATTGATGACAACACCAGGTAGGTCAAATGAAAAAATTAAAATCTCCTTTCTACAGTACTGTGTGCCCAGTGAATTTCTCTGTTACTACTGAAATAGGGAAATAAATGGGAATGTCTCTTTACCAGCTCCAAGCAATGCAGACATAGCCTCCTTCAAAGTGTAAGGCAATGTAAAGCCACTGGTACATTCAATAGCTGTGCTTGCTACATCTTGTATTATCGGCAGATCACCAGATACTGTGATACGTGCTTCTCTCAGCTGGGAGCAAAGCAGCATGGCTCCCTGAAGTCACCTGGGCTCTGCAGCTTTCTTATAACTGATGGGATGTTCAGTGTTCACAGTCATTTTTCTTCCACTGAGAATAAGAAACCATCATTAAAACCACTCTCTCTCCAAATCAGGATGCAAGATGCAAACATTCTTCTTTTAGTGTTTCTTTTGTACTTGAAACAAGCTTGTTCAGTGGACTCTGTGACTTTCCTGACCATTATCTGCAGAATGGTTGCTGAACAGCTTTCTGTATCACAAGTGACCTTTCCATGAAACTCTAAAGGACAATCATGGTGACCAAATTCTGAACCACTTTAAATTCTGATTCTGTCCTTTCAGGCTCATGTATTGGACTGACTGGGGAAGGCAGCCAAAGATTGAATGTGCCTGGATGGATGGACAACAAAGACAAACTCTAGTCTCTGAAGACCTTGGCTGGCCAACAGGTCTTTCTATTGATTATTTGAACAATGATAGGATCTATTGGAGTGATTCTAAGGAAAATATTATTGAATCCATGAGACCTGATGGGACAGACAGAACCATAGTATTGCATGGAGGTAAGAACTTAGATGCAATTAATAGTAACCAAGGTGTATGCTAGCAAAAGCACTTGGGCTCCACACATGGGACTAGCTTTGGGAGCTTTTCAAAGAGTAAATCTTGCTAGTGTTTTCTCCTCCTTTGTACAGGGACAAATGGCACATCAGGTTCAGAGCTCATGATGCCTGGTAACTAAATTCTCTGAGAGTAATTTATGTGACACAGAGGGGACAATGTGGAAAATTGGATTCTTGCTTTTTTAATGTATATTATTTAGCAGTCTGCAGGTATAGTGACATGAAGTAGTCAGGCACATAAGGATGTATATATGTAGCTGCAGATGTCTTAAAATGAAAGGATTGGGTGATGTATTTAAGCTGAAGAAGAATAGCAGTTTTATTGCTTCTGCTAGAGATTTGCTTGCTAATAGTCTGTTGTTCGGTTCCTTTGAGAAGTAGGCAGTCCATACAGCCTAGATGTCTTTGAAGGCCATTTATACTGGATAGCTAAGGAACGTGGAGAAGTCTGGAAGAAAGATAAATTTGGAAGTGGAGAAAAAGTGAAAGTGCTGACCGTAAATCCATGGCTTACCCAAGTGCGCGTCTACCACCAGCACAGATACAATCAGTCAGGTAGGTGAACAGTATCCTGGTGAGCAATTCCTTGCCATAAGATCAAAGTTGGCATTGATGCCTTCAAAGAGCTTAGTAATCTTCTGATAATGCATCTATCAATATGTGATAATACTAATTTCTGAAAACCTAAAAATGAAATAGAGGCTGACAGTGTTTTCTTCACGCCCAACATGAAATCAGCAGTTGAACACCACAGTGCTCTCAGCCTCAGTTCTAAATTATGACCCTGTTCTTTCTCCTCTTCCCCTCCATCATGGGGTTGTCATAGAAATGGCAGTGACAATATGAATTTATCTGGTAACGTACAAAGTGCTGGCCATTTAATGCTGCCTCCAAAGAGGATTTCAGCTGTGACATGTCCACAGTAATCACAGGGTAGGATGTCCAGAGGAACATCCAGCATACGCCTCTTTTAAAGGTGGTGTAGTTTTCAGAATCAGAAAGCTAGAAAGCTCCATATTGCTCAGAGTTCAGTTTCTTCTTGATGCTACGATGGCTCACAACAGCCATGGTCTCTCCCTTAAGAACATAAGAACAGGCAGAGAGAAGGTTTTAATATAAATGTGGTATTTGGGCATCAGTTGTTTTTAAAATGGATCTAAACGTGTTTAGATTTTTGGTGTGTGATACTGATGAGATACACTACTAACTATGGAATTGCTCTGCCTTACCTCGGGAATATGCTGCGTTGCTTCTTCAACTTCCTTATCACTTTTTTTTTCTCCAGTGCCTAATCCTTGTAAAGATGTCTGCAGCCACCTCTGCTTGCTGAGACCAGGAGGCTACACCTGCACTTGTCCTCAAGGGGCTCGATTCATAGAAGGCAGCAGCACAGAGTGTGATGCAGGTAGAATAATTTGTCAAATTGGAAATGAAAGAAAAAGGAGGCTTTTCTTTTGGAATGCAAATCCATTACTGAATTACAAATATGGAGAGATGAGCGATATAGTTTATTGTGTGGTGTCCTTGCTCATGGCAAGGGAGTTGGAACTAGATGATCTTAAGGACCTTTCCAACCCTAACTATTCTATTATTCTATGTTGGTAAGTCAGGACATCTGGCTTTTATTCCCAGCTATCACTGATTAGTCATCTCTTTGCATGTAGTTTGTAAAATGGTTATAGATGCATCACTCTGCCCCAGACCCAGCAGCAAAATAGTCACAGTTTCTGATTTTTGCTTCAAAATTCCAAAATGTTCGACTTTCATTTTTTTCAAATTCATTGATTTCAGAACTAGAGAATTTCTAAAAAATTATGGCTTACAATTATGTTTATAATTCTATACAAGGTTTTGTTTGATCAGAGTAACAGAATAGAACAGAAACTTGAAACTGAGCTTACAGTACTCACAGTGTGAACAGAGGTAATTTCTAGATAATGATCTAGTGCCTTTTAAGCACTAGAAGTTAGTGCTTGGTTGTTGCATTGCAGCAGAGCCCCCACAGTGCTTCCAGGAGCGCCAATAAAATAGAATTGCTCAGCCTTTCCTGAGGAGAAAGAGCACACCACTGCAGGATTTCTATTTCTCTCTCTCTCACAGCTTACAGTGATGAGGGTAGTAGCCAGATGTCCTTGTACTTGTCCTTCCAACATATCTCTAATAAATTATGCTTTATAACATTGGTATCTTTTCCATGGTTAGGCTTTTCTGAATGCTCTTCTTTTTGTATTACATGTGCTGTGAGCTGCAGAAAGAGGGGCTAGTAATATGATGTAATAATTAATAATAATTCTATGTAGTAGTGAATGGAATTGTGAAATATCTATTTAAATTAGGGATCAATAACACTGTTGATTGCATTTGCTACTGGTTGTTTATTGCTCTAAGGACACTACATTTGTTATTCTTTGCTGAAACTGATTTACATAAAATGTCCAGGGATTAACAAGACTCTGCTTGACCCTATTTTGATGAAAAGATGGATACAGCAGATAGGATATTGAGTACTGTCCCCATATTTGAACTTCAGTTTTTACCTTGATATTAAACAAAGTGAGCTGTGACTGCCATAACTGAATGTAGTGACTAAACATCGTTTTTATACATAGATTTGGTTTATTTGGTCCTTTCCCCATATTGCAGTTACTGAGAAACACAGCCTGTAAGATTTCTATATTTTCCCTTTTTGTATTCTATTTACTTGAAGGGAGTTTTACCTGTAAAGAACATTATAGCAACAGGCTTTCTCTACCTCTGGCTGATAAAAATTTTAATACAAAAGTATTATGATCTAATTTATCAGTGCAAAACAGACTGTCAAAGCTCTTACTGAAGGCTGGTACAACTTCTCACTTTTTTTCCCCCCACTTTTTTTCGTTTTATTTTTTTCACTTGAATCAGCATTAAAGTAACATCAGACCCTTTATAGCTCTGTGTTTTGGCCAGCTTCGGCAGCACTGGCACTTGAGCACCTCAGGGCTCCTGGAGCACAGCTGAGACACTGACATAATGAAGAACAGGCTTACGTGCTACCTTGTGCCAAGTTGTCAGTCTGTGCTCCTCTGTACTGACAGAGAACTCCGAGGACTTTGCGTTTCTCTCTTGTTCTCACTGTCAGGATGTGTGATAGCTTAGAGACCCCTCCTGCATGTGCATTTCCACCTGCTGCTTTTCTTCATAAGTAAATGCATTACAGATTTGCCCTCTGTGCAACTTCCAGTTGGTTGATTGGAGGAGTCTGGGCAAAGGAGATTAAATACTGCTTTCTGAATGGAGAGTTTTGAAGGGTGGTGGTGGGCTGCATTGCATGGGCAAAAGAAGGTGATAGGAGACATAGCTTTTGAGTTGTCTGTGCCTCATTTTGTCAGGTAAGTAGTTATTTTCTGAGAACAGCTTTTACTTCAATTAAAAGAAGCTAGTTTGGCAGAAAAATAAGTGAGAGCAACAAATGCATGTTCTATTAAAAGCGAAGTTTCTGAAAAGTAGCCTGTGAGTTTGCACACACAAGTTCCGTAAAGATAAATAAAATGCTCTATGGCAGTATTTCTTTTGTTGAAGATGTCTGATAACACATATGTGGCTTTCAAATTTTGCAGCTATTGAATCCCCTCCCACAATGCCACCAGCATGCAGGTGCATGTATGGAGGAACATGCTATATAGATGAAAGTGATCTTCCAAAATGCAAGTAAGTCAGTGTGTTGTTAGGGTAGTCCTGGGTCATATTGTGCTGATTTAGTCTCACAAAACAATTGAAATCTTTGAAGTCTGTTGCAAATGCTTCAGATGATGTCATGCGTCTGCAATAGCATGTTTGTAACAATCACAGAAAAATGCATACATGCATAAAAATAGCATCAAATAAGCAATGTAAATGTGTCAGTTTGGAAAAACAAACAATGAAAACAAAACCCAAAAACCTAGAAAGGCAAATCTCTGAAGATTCTAGCAACGGGCTATACTAAAAAATTGTAACAATGGAATAGTGCTCAGTAAATGTAGCTTGGAACAGCCAGTAGGTGCCACCAATGCTTCACTGAAACCAAATCTTTTGACTTCAGTGGCCAGTTTTCTGACTCGGTGCTTTTTATTTCCACTTTTAATTCTATGAAGATAACAGACCTACAATATTTACAGTCAGTGAAATAGATAATTACTGAGCATGGTGTTAAAATTTATGGCATGTAGATAAGCATTACAGAATATAATAATAAAGCTGAGATCCTAGACTTAATAAAAGCCAGTCAGTCAGCTGTCCTTAAATTTACAGGTGTTCTTATGGCTACACTGGGAATTATTGTGAAATAGGATTGTCGAAGGGAGTGCCTCCTGGAACAAGTAAGCTTCAAGTATATATTACACTTGATATTTTGAGCTAAAGAATGTATTGTATAATACCTCACTATGATACCCATTCAGGGTCAAACTTACAATTCTCGGGACTCTTTTTTACACTGAACTATATTTGCTTGAATGTCTGCTTCTCCTTCTGTCTTTGATAGCAGCAGTAGCAGTGTTGCTGACAGTCATACTGATCATCATAATCGGAGTGTTAGCAGTTGGAGGCTTTTTTAACTACAGGCGAACAGGCTCCCTTTTACCAGCGCTTCCCAAACTGCCAAGGTATGTTTTAAAGGCTTTCATAGCTGGAATGTCTGTACGCTGAAACTATATGTTTGTTCCTAAGTATTTCTGAAAACTTCAGTTTATTTGCCATGTGCCCATTATGATGGAATATGGGAAGTGCAGTGTTGCAGCAATTCCACTGATCATTACTTTGTAACAAAGGACTATAGTAAAACTCTTCTACATTCTAAATTAGCTTTTAAATAATGAGCAATATAGAAGACAGCTTACGTGATCTGGAACTAGATATTCAGTTCAAAAAGATACGAAGGACCATAGTTACATGTGTTTTGGTTTTTTATGAAACTTTTGTCAGAAGATGATTCTGTCAAGGAGATCTTTTTGGAATTGAAAGGCTGAGCTCATCTGCAACACAGTATTCATCTGTTAAGAGTACTATAGGGCATGTATAGTGAACTTGTGTTTCCAGTACCTGAGAAATCTGAGTTTATTTGTAGGTTCCTGCTATCCTGACAGTCACTGTCCTGTTTCGAAAACGAGCTTTGTGAAATGTCGATCAAAAATACTTGATGCTTTAAATCAAAGGAAAATGAACAAAAGTATTTCTAATTATTTTATTTAAAAAGAAGTCAGAATATGATGCTTCAAATATTTTTAGCTTTAAGCAAATTATGTGTTTTTTTTAATAGCATAAAGCTGTATCTTCATGATCTTTGCACCAGTTTTGCAGTAGTAGCTCTTAAATCATTGTAATTGGTAGTGTGGATGTAGCTATAACTGCTTCCTCACTGGAGGATTACACTGAACCAAGTAAATTTATTTATGACCGTTGCTTTTTGTTTTGTGGGTTTTTTTTTAGTTTAAGCAGTCTTATAAAATCTACTGAAAATGGCAATGGAGTAACTTTCCGGTCTGGAGCAGATGTGAGTATGGACATAGGAGTCTCTGGCTTTGGAGGAGACTCTGCTATAGACAGAGCAATGCAAATGGTAAGGTTTTAGTTCTGAAATAATTTTTAAAATTGTGTTCTTTTAATGTCATTTTCAGCTGATGATAGAAAGAAGTCTTTTATGTAAAGAAAGACAATGAGATGATAAATGTGTTCTAGAAAAAGAAGTAAACGTAAATTGATAATTTCCTGAAATAGATTTTTGGAAATTGAAGGCAAAGACAAGTGTAGGCTATTCTTCAAAATAATGTGACTTTTCTCAAGATTTATATGGCAGAATATGTATTTTGGCATATTCATGGGCTATAAGGGTTATGAATAGGCAAATGAAAATATTGCAACAAGGAATTTTTTGAGGGCCTTTGTGTTCCATGGAACTGTTTAAAATAGGTGGTTTTCAGATCCAGACTGTATGTTAGAAACTCAGGCTTAACCAAAGGATACACTGCTTTGCACAACAGATAATAAATGGGGCAGTGATTTATTTTAGCAAGTTTAAATAAATAATGTTTAATAGTTTTGGGGACATCATAAAGTATAACTCTACTTAATCCATGTTTTGTTTTGCACAGCTGAGAAATAGCACATGCTTCTGTTTCCTATATTCAATAGTTTTTCCACAGAAAAAATATTCCCCTGTTTACCACAAGAAGTACAATGTACGAAAGGTTTTTACTTACAGGAAACAGATCAGAACTATTTTTGAATAATAAGCACTTGCTGCAAAGTCTACACTGGAAGCTCCCTAAACTTGTAAAGATAAGTTACAGACTTAACCGTCAGTAAATTAATATGAAATGAAACAGCTAGTGAAGATAAGCTCACAATATATGTATACGACCTTTTCCTAGATGAAGAAACACACTCTGCTAAAGTAGGCAGCTTGTCTAATGAAACTACCATATGAACATTTCAGTAAATACTAGGAAAACAGCTTTAGGCTTCAGTATTACCTCAAATCTTTTTTATGCATGAAAACTTAATGGTGCTTTCCATTTTCTGGCCTAATACTGATATACTGAAGTCCAACTGATGCAGCTTATGCATTACTAATAACAGGTATGGAGATCTGGTTAAAGGCTATTTCTACATAAGTGGCATTAATTCTCCTCATGTATTTAGAGTATAAACAAAAAATTGTATAGCTCACTGGAAAAGAATTCAAAGAGTTTGGTTTATGGCAGCAAAGAACTGTGGGATGTGCCTCCTAAAATTTTAATATCACATATGCATTTGTAGATGCTAGAGGGATATTTTTCAGTGTGGCTCTTCTTATCTGAGATAGGCTAATTAGAGGGAGCTGACACAAGTTTACTGTATGGTAAAGAGCTATACTCCAATAGCACAAAGCATGAAGCCTTATGGCATGAAGCAGTAGTTTGTAGAAATAAGGTAGGTTTAAAGAACTAGCTGATGTACTATTCCCATGTTATTCCCTACTATTCCTGTGATTGGGCTGTGACAAGGAGCAGGACAAATGGGTCTGGGTGGGGTTTTGCTTTCATTACCCTTCTACCTGTTGATGATTAACTGGCCAGCACTGGGTAGCTATCCTTATGCGGCACAAAATATTTTCTGAACAAATACTTAACTTGGCACCTTTGGGATAATATTGGAACAATCAGTGGTCCGGGCTGCCAAGTCACTGAGTAAAATAATGGATGGTAAACTAACATTACGATTTTAACAGATGCTAGATTTTGTCTTTTACTTTATGTGAAAGTAAACATGCATTTTCCCTGAGATGAAGAACTGGACTAAAAGTAAATTTTTAATTTATTTTTTTTTTTTTTCTTCATAGAATGAAAACTTTGCAGTGGAGTCAGGGAAACAGCCCATCACGTTTGAAAATCCAATGTATGCAACCAGAGATGGTGGAGCCAGCACAGCCAGTGCAGTTACAGTTGTTCGGCCAAAACATGTAAGAGAAACTTAGGCTTGACTTCTACCCTTCATTTTCCTTTATGACCTTCTTTTCCTCTTTGAAGAGCATTTATTTTCCTTCTCCTACAGGCAGCAGCAGCTGGAAGTGAGGAAAACGAAAATTTTGAAAATCCTGTGTATGCCTCTGCAATATCTGCTAGTCCGAAGGAACCTCCTCAGAGTTCAGATGCACCTCAGGTAGGACAGAGAAATGCTGTCTTGTTTGTTTTGTGCTCCAAATCAGGGAAATTAAATTGTTAGGGAAGCTGCAATATAGTTTCAATACTCTTTAAATAATGCTGCGGAATTGCACATAGTGTACATCAAATCCAACTAACTGGGCCATATTTACAAAAGCTCATCGGGAACAGTTTGATAAGAGAAAAGCAGCAAAAGTGTAGAATTGCCCAGGGCATACAGTAGAAGATGTATTTGGATTAAACCCTTTCTTCTTCCTGGCCCATCCAATTATTTGGATTTGAATAGATTGAAACAGAGAGTTTCTTTTCACTGTTTGTTGTGCTTTGTTTTGAGAGCAGAAACTAGTCCAAAAATTGTAATGTAACTGCTGTAAATTTTCACTGGTGCCCAGCAGTAATTATTATAACTAAGGCTTTGCTTCAGACTTCTAATGATTATTTGTAAACACTTAATCAATTATAGCTTGATAGAAGCAGCAGAGAGCATATATGAAAAGAAAACCCAAGAAAAATTACATTTTGTCTTAAACCAGTAAAAACCTAGGAGGCTTTTTTGGTACAGAAAATTGAAATAAGACATATAGTCAGGGTACTGTCTTTTTTTTTTCCACTTTTATTTGTAACTTTACCTCTGTTTAAAAGTTCTAGCAAGGACATTTAAGACACTTGTTCTATGCTATGTGTTCCTGCAGGACATTCTGAAATAAAAGCTCTGCCAACCTGTTGTAGTTTCATGTCCCTCAGTAATTTCTCTTGTGTTGTTTTCAAGACATTTCTCCTCTTTGACCTATTTGTCTGGAATAATAGGCTTCCTTGAATTAATTTAGCCTAATGAGTACTGCTTTATATAAAATCCAGCAGGAAAAAAATGTTGGGTCTCATGCTTTAGAATTGCGACATAGTAATGTAAGAACATCCAGCTGAAATCACTGAGTCAGCAGTCCGTGCAAGTGAAATCAAATCCAACAACAGTGATACTGCTTCTAAAGAAGTTGTGAGGAAGATGTGTGAAGTTCTAATAATTTTTATGTTACAGGAATCAAAGTGGAGTTTCTTCAAGAGAAAAATGAAACAAAACACTAATTTTGAAAACCCAATATATGCAGAGGTATTCCTTAATATTGTATAATTCTATTTTTCAGCTGATATACTGCTGGACTTTGCTGTTGCTTTCATAGGATAAAGATTATGGGTAGATTCTGCTTGTAAGTGAAACAGCACAGAAATTCCAGCTCAGGTCAAGGTAGGACTGAAGTGGTTTTGAGAAAAGTTATAAAGTCTTGTGCAGAAGTTTTTCAGCAAGCATTGCCCACATTTCTGCATTCCCAGCCCAAGCACTGTGGCCAGCTCCTGCTCTGGGATCTCAGGTGCTGGTTTCAGCTTTCTGGTGCATTTTGGCACAGTTCAGGGTCCAGTGCAAGTGGAAGGTGATTGTATTGCACTAGGAGGGAAATATCTGTTTCTGCCTTCTCAGTCTTGGCTTCAGCACTGCACAAAAATTCAATAGCTGTGTGTACTGCAGCCCTGTTTCTATACCAGCCCTATTTTATTTATTTTTTTTTCATCTATATAGTTGCATAGACAGTTCTTTTAAGATAGTGTGCCAGTGGTGGTATGTGTGCTGGAGGAATTCGTCCCTGGCTTGGGCATGAAGGTTTGGAGTTCTGCTGAATTGAGCCAGTAATTCCAGCCCTTTTCACCTTACGGTTTAGTATTTCCGGATGGCCTAAATGAGTTCAGAACCTCAGTGTCTAAAACTAGCTGTCATTCGTGGTGAATTTAGGTTTCTAATATTTGAACAAAGTGAGAGAATGAGTTCAGGAAGCCAGAGGTTCATTTCCCCAACACTAATGAATGTAATTATTTACAAACAGTAGTAGAGCCAATGTTACCTACATTCATGTATGTGCTTATAGACATACCAAGCTACTCTGCCATTAAACATTAAAACAGAAGTCCCAGCATGCAGAGTAAGTTTGCAGTAGTGTACTTACTCAGCTGTACCATCACAGGTGAAATTAGCATTTGATTTTGTTACAGGCAGTGATACGCAGAAATAACTTATACCATGACACTTGACTTCAGCAAAATACTTGGATATTTATTTCACATTTCTGAAAGTTAAGGTTGATATTTTGTACACTAGAATGTAAACTTGGATTTTATGATTATTGTTTCAGATGGAAAAGGAGCAGCAACAAGACACAGAAAGTGTCCCTACCCCTTCTCCTTCACTGCCTCCCAAGATTACACTGAGAAGAGACCAACCATTATCTTACACAGCAACAGAAGACACGTTTAAAGACACCGCCAATCTTGTTAAAGAGGACTCTGTGGTATAGCTAGGTAACTGATTTAGGGAAAATTAGACACATCCATTTGCACATATATTTTTTATAAACAGAAGAGTAAGGTTCACATTCAAATGCTTTATAAAAATACATACATCTCTTAGCCAATGGCTGGATATGTATGTTGAAACTATGCCTTGTTTTTTTTGACAAATGCCAATTTCTATTTTTATGAACAATTATCGTGATGTACTATATGTATATCTTTGCACTGAAGCTGTCTGAAAGAAATGTTATAAATATATTGTATATTTGTAAATTTTTGAAAGATGATCTTGTTTGGTGATGTTGCTAGTAGAAATCTGTATGGAATTGGTCGTATCTTTAGGGATAAATTCACTATATAAATTCTTAAAGTAAAAAAAAAGAACCAAACAAGGCAACTATAGGAACATTACTTACTGATTTGCAGGATCTTTAGCATATATATTTATAACAGCACCTTTTGAAACTTCTACTGGTGCTCGGGGCATCTTTACCACCTATTTTATATACTACTCTATGTAAAAATGGGTGTCTCTGTTTATCTCGTGTTAAACAAAAGATGGAAGAGTCAATGTAGCATCATTTTGTTGAACGTGCAAAATGTTGTTCTTACAGTATTTTAACTGCTGGAGATAAAACAATTTCCTCTCGATCCATAAAACCCATACTTTTTCCTCAAGGTTCCAATTAACGCCATGCCATTAATAGTGTTCCTAAAAAGATCTGATAGATTTTAATGCCATGAGTAGTTAATTTAATAAGATTTTCTCTTGCTCATCAATGGAATAGCTCTGTTCTTGGCTGGAGTTTCTGGAAGTAATTTTTACCATTAAATGAAGTAGCTAGATTTCTGTAACAGCTTATTTCCAAACAGCATAATACAAAAGATACTGGTTCATTTAAGAAGTTATTCAGGTTTTTTAATGTGAAAATTTAATTTTATTGACTATTTATTTCCTGAGGTGAACATTAATAGAAAGGGAAACAATTTATACTAATGCAGTCCTTGTAGTTACTTGGTTATTTCTATATCCTTCCATCAGAATATACTGTATACCTTATTAGCTTTTCTATTAATTAGCCAAGGTAGTTTCCACAACATGAGCCATGTGAGGAAACTCTGAGTACCACTGCAGGAGCATGGTATTCAGCATTCCTGCCTAGCTACTGATATAACTTAAAGATTCCTAAAGTTATAATCACTGAGACGACTGCTATTTGATTGTTTTATATCTGAGTTCTCAAAGTATTTACTATTTCTAATTAGAATGTTTATAATTACTTTGTAATGTACTTTGATTAGAAAAGACAACTGGAAAATGATGCTGCTGAATAAATCTAATAAATGTATTGTTTTATCACATTCTTATTCCATAATTTGTGTCAAGGCTTTATGCACTTTTTTCAGTTGTGGAGACTTCAGTGAGTGCACTCTGAGATGAAAACAACAGTACTTTAGACAACATCAAATAAGAATAGTGCTTACTGCTTCACACAGCTGTCTAAAGTTCTTGATATAACATCACTGACATCGTTTCACAATGAAAACTGCCCCATTCCACGTATTAAATAAACTGGCCCTTGAAACAGGAAACTCTTATTATTGATGGTAGGAGGCTGACTTTCAATATAGTATGGACACAAACAATTGAAACCTTAGTTCAATTAACGTGCGCATCTAAATGCTTTAAAAATTCCTTAGAATGAGGGACACAGCATACACACCTATAAGGCTATGAGAAAGGATGTCTTTGAGAGGCAGGTTGCTGTTCTTAAGGAAAGAGTTCACAATGTTTTTTAAAGAGAGAAGGCAGGGCTAACATTTCCACAAGTCTTGCCTCCAGTTGATACCATAATTAAAATAGCATCGCTTTTGTGAATAGTCTTTGTCAACAGAAAGATTTGGAGTAATTTTTGGAGAAAACTGCTAATATGTCAGCCATATATCAGAGTTACTTTTTTCCCCATAATAATTCTAACTTTTCAGATGTGCAAGAAAACCATCCCTGGTATACTGTATAGATGGGCAGTATGTAGATTTGATTGTTTGACATTCCTGATGGTGAAGGATTCCTAAGCTTCAGCTGGGCTTCTTTCTCTCAGTAGCAACCATAGTGTACCCTTCTGCTTATCTAAAATTTACTTTTTGTACTTTGTTCAACAGAAGCCTTAGATTCCATTCCTAATTTTGTTTTTCATTTGTATTTTTTTCCCTTATGAGGACTGTCCCTGCTTGGATTCTTGAATTCTGGACTCATTCTATTTCAAAGAAGGACGATTTTTAGGGATTTCGGCAAGTCTCTGTAATCTGCCACTATACGGTTGATAAATTAGTCTTTTCATGTACATTCTCTTTACAGCTGTCAGGCCAGATAGAGAGAACTGTCTCTCTTACAAGTATTTATCATCAAATGAAGTAAAATAAATTTATTCTTGAAGCCATTTGCCAGAGAATAGAACCAATGAAAAACTTACAGGTTACTAAATAATGTTTATATTCTGTCCCTTCTGTCCATGTACAAACACCCCCGGCCCCATCCCCTCTTACACACAGAGTGATGAAACTCCTTTTCTTACATTTGGAGTTCTGACCTGCATGTGGTATTTTTGTAAGCTTAATTGGATTGCACATTAATGATTAATCACCAGTGCAGGACTTTAGCAAATAAAACCTTTACCCCTTCAATTTTAATATCTCTAGGAACACCAGTTTGTGAGCCTCTAGCCAACAGCTTAACAGATAGAAATAGTGTACAAGAGGCACAGTAACCTCAGCTAACATTTTGTTGTTTTTAACATACCCTTTGTACAGTCAAACTAATTTGCCATAGCGTATGCTAATGATCTTGTTTCATCTAATGAGTGAAATAATCAGACTTTTAACTTGCAGAGCAAGAGAAATGTAAATGCGTATTATTTCTAATATTTCCTCATATACTAAACTATTATTAGGGAGAATGTTTAAATACAAGTTTAGATACTCTGTTTGCATAGTAACAGGGTTCAATGAAGTTTTGATTTTTCCCTGTTATTGCATATCTGTAAAATAACTTGTTTTATTTCTACACAGTTGAATAGTCAGGGGATTAGATGTGGTCAAATACTGCAATTGTAATTTTTGGAATATGTTGGAATAGCTGGGCTTTATCATTTGTTTTCATGTGTTGTGCTCAGCAGCTTATGAAGTTTAGCAACTCCTGAATATGATCAGCTGCCCATGAAATAAGTGACTAAATCTGACTAAATACATTCTGTAAGGTACATGTATAAGATATATGTTCTGAAAGACAATTGTTTCATTTCAAGTTCACTAGCAGTCTATATGTTGATGAAGTCTACGTGAAAACCTGATTATTTTAGTGAATTTATTTTCCTTATTTAAAAACTTGCTATTGGGTGAGTAGTATTGACTAGCTTTGTAGCTGAGTATTTTAGGAATGGACATCCTACAGCGGTATCACTTCTGAGCATAACATAGGACCTTCAAAAACAGGCTGGATTTACAAGCTTATCTGCCAATTCGGAAATTCCAGGTAAGGAGGGGTGGGAGGTGGAGAAAGTGTCTTCTGAAAAGGATTTAAGCAGTCTAGTAACTGATTAAGAAGAGAATGTCTGGTTCTGACAGGATTAACATTTACTTCTGCAGAGTTGATACTGGTTTAATACTAAATGTTAATTAGAACTCCAGGAACTGATCTCCCACTAGCTGCTGTAGCTGGAAGCTTCATACACGGCAGCATGTCAGATAAACAGCTTGGGGCTTAGGAGAGAAACAGCCAAAAGAGCTTTGCATCCAGCTCTGTATTGTGTCCTGGGGTACTTTGCTATCAGGGCATGTGCCATGCATTTTATGACCTCAGAAGTATCAGTCACACAGTCTTTTTACTGATGAATTTTGAGCTTTTATATCTGTGAAGAAGAAAAGAAATCTGAAAGCATTTATATGCAAAATTCTCTGTGAGAGGATTCTTTATTTTCAAAGGTTTGGCTACAGCTTCAAGCTTGCTTTAAACTACTGGTTTGAGTACTGAGAGCAGTTCAGCTACAAGAGAGCAGAGACCAGAATGCCTGCAGAACACCCAAGAGCCCAGCAAACAGAAACCTCCCTGGCCCATATTGTGAGCCAGATGTTCTTTCTGTACAGCGTAGCATGACTCAGCATAACTTTTCAGATATCAGTAAGCCATAAACAGCATATGGTCACCACAGTTCATTCCTCCTGGGCATTCTACTTTGAAGTATGGAGAGAATAAGGATGGTGGCATGACATCACATCTCACCAATCTCATGTGGGAACTAATAGCACAGGCCTTATCTAACATAGATACAGTCCAGGACAGTCAGCAATGGGTTCTTAATGAATGTTAATGAAGTCCAACAAACATTCACAGAATTACAGATTGGTTGAGATTGGAAGGGACCTCTGGTCCAACGCCCCCTACTCAAGGTGGGTCACCTAGACCAGGTTGCCCAGGACCATGTCCAGATGGCTTTTGAATATCAGCAAGGGTGGAGACTCCACAACTTCCTTGGGCAACCTGTGCCAGTGCCCAGTCACTCTCACAGTTAAAATATGATTCCTAGCAGGAACGTCCTGTGTTTCAGTATGTACCCATTGCTTCGGGTTCTGTCCCTGGGCACCACTGAAAAGGGCCTGGCCCTGTGTCTGTACAGTCTCTCTTCAGATACTTATGTAGTTTGATAATATTCCCCCTGAGCTTTCATACAGTCCTATTTACATTCAACAAAGTATTTTTCTCTGTAGGAGTCCCCAGTCTCAGGAGTCAGTCCTCAGGAGTCAGTCTGTTTAAATGTCTTAAGAGGTACGTCTTGATGACATCTGAATTAACTACTCCTGCCTTAAAGAAACCATGCTCAACAATGCTTACTTTCACTCCAAAACACTGCATTTCTATCACAGAGGAAAAAAACCCAAACACCAGTGACCATTCCTGACCGCTCAATAGCAGCATAACCGTTAAACGTAAGTAAGTAGAAAGTCTGTCACATAGAAATGAGTATTTGAGACTTTAATTTTTCAAATGTCAGAATAATTTTGAGATGTTCAGGTTAGCTTCACAGCAGTGTACCTGTCCCATAAAAGCACAGCAGGCAATTAATTCTGAATTAAAAGCCCCAACAAACAGTGTCAGGTAGATTCACAGCTCTCTGTGTGCTTTATTTTGGACTTACGCAAGGATGCAGCAGCCGGATGCATCTTAGCCGTGTATTACCAAGCTAAAACTTTAGACTCTTTCAAATGGTGTTGCCTCATTTCAGCTTCCAGCAAAGACATATTATTAAAGGGCCTGGGGAAAAGTAAAAGTGAGCAAAAATTTCATTTGGATTAGAACTTTATTCTCCATCATGTGGTTAAATGGCTATGGTTAAGTGATTAAATCTTAGTGCAATAAAATGCCCAAAAGCTTCTTGCTAGCCAGTTGTCCAGGATATGAAAGCTTTTCCTGGTGGGTCTGTTCACAGTGCTGGAGATTGAAATCCTGAACAAATGACCAACATCCTCTTCTTTGCCTTTCCCCCTTGAGGCAGGATTTCCATAGAAAAAACGAGAGGGGTAAACATACAGTCGCCCTTCCTCAGCAGATTTGGAATCTGTTCTTGGATTCATGCATGTATTTCTAGCTACTCACTGTAAGATATGAGAGAAAGTTTCCATACCTTATTTGGACAGTCTATAGCCACCCTCTACAAAACCCATAAGGCCTTTGGCATCGGATTAGCTATTCTTCCCTCAGCTTTTTCCAGAAGTGGCAGAAGCTTGAGCATAATTTCTATCAATTCCATCAGACTAACATCCAGCACTGAGTGGAAGTCTTCAATCCCCAGCCAGTCAGTGGGTTCTACAAGTGCCGTTCCTTCAGCATTGCTCACCAAGCAAAAAAGGATTACAAATTACAAAGGATTGCAAACCCATTTAATTCAGTATGTGGCAATATCTTACCCTAAGGTTTCATATGCACCATTGAGAACCAAGCATAGAGTCTTTAAAAACCTGACTGAGGTGAATACAGTTGTCTGGGGTTTGCTTCTATGATCTACTCTGTACACTTGGCAAAATTTGCTGAAGGCCTTATACAATGACTCTAAAAGAGTATGAGTAAAGTATTAAAGGGAAACTATTTCAGTTGGAGATACAGACCACCATACTGGGCTTTATTATCCAGATCCATTCCAGTATGTGAGCTCCTAATATGCACTTACCTTCCTCTGAAAATCAAATAGTCTGTATAAAAGTCTGATTTGTGTCAGCTGGGGTCTAAAGGTCTGAACCTGATGTGTGGAATTAGTCAATGCTTCTGAAGATACTAGCTTAACCCTGTGTATTGATAATACTGCTTTACTACCTTATAAATTACTTGAGAAACTAGATAAATAGTGACATTTCCGAGAGTTTGCTGAGGACAGCCTGCGCCTGAAGGTAGAGGCCGAAAGTCCAGCACTCAGACTTCATAAAGAGTTTCTCAGACTGAGGTGACAGCATCAGCAGTGGTTACCCCCACCGAGAGCGTGCAGCTTTCCACAAGCTGGAAGCAGGGACCTACCAGATGAGGTAAGTACTAATAATTATTTTGTCCTTGCCCTAATCACTGCATTTAATAAGTGTCTGGAACCTTCACGATGAGGCCAACAGTGTTTTACAAGCTTTGAGAAGAAAGTCCTACTGGTAGAAGATACATGTTTTGTTGTTTTAGCTAGTTAACTGATTAACAAGCCTATTGAATATTTAGTATAACTGTGTGTTACTGATGATAATTGCAGTGCTGCAATCCCCTTTGGCAGCCCTTAACAAAGTCTAGTCTAAGCTATCAGTGCTGAGAAGGAAAGGTCTATTGCCATGGCTTAGTATGTTTACCTTGCAGATTTTTTTACTACCTTCTGCCAAAACCAACGCTTAATTCTTGATTTTAACTCCACTCAAAGCGGACACCCAAGGAACAACTCTTCCTCTTTTAGACATGTTCACAGAGGTGTATGATAGTACCTATGTAACAGCTCTAAGGAAACTGGCTGAAGGGGTGAGTGTTTAACTGTTACAGTCAGTGCAATTGTTGTTGTGTGTGTTGCAAAATTTGGACTCATTCAACCATGCAAAAATACTCTTTTGTATACTAGAGGAAGGCTGAAAAAACCCACCACCAGCCATTTTTAATTGTGTGGGCTGGATTTATTGTCAAGAAAGTTCTTTCTGGTACTAGTTAGCACCTTCCTCCCCCAGCTGATACTCTTCAACTGCACCAAAAAGAGTCTGATAAACAAACTTATTTGGTTTTAACAGACTGAGATACTAGATTTTTAGGAACCCTGTTGGTAAAAGTGAAGGAAAACCCAAAAGCATTGCTGAAGAGAATCTCTGAACCTGAGAAATGACAGAGTGAATGCTTTTCATCAGTGAGATGAAATATAGAATCATAGAATCATAGAATAGTTAGGGTTGGAAAGGACCTTAAGGTCATCTAGTTCCAACCCCTCTGCCATGAGCAGGGACACCATATGCCTCTGTGGAGAGTGGAGAGGCACTAGAAGTTTTAGCTAGAGCAGATCTGGTTATATTGAATAATTTTTTGGGGAAATTACCTTGCCACTAAGTCTTGCCAGCTGTCTTTTTGGTCACAAACACCACAGCTGTTGGGGTCAGCTAAGTTCAGGTTCACTGTCTTCAGTGGGAGTAAGGAGCAGGACTGTAGCTCTTGGCCTCCTTTTTCTGTGACACATGCAACAATGACACAAACTCGCCTTTAGTCAAGCCATTTACCGGTGAGTTTCCAAGTCCACTATCAACACTTGTCACGAACACATGCTTTCCATTCAGGTTTCTCACTCCGTGACTGTCTCTAATGAGCCAGTAAATGGTAAGGGAAAGTATGGAAGCCAGAATTGCTATGTGCAGTGCCTCTGAGAGCTACAGGCAAATAAGTTAATGATCTAGAAATGCAATGAAGCAAATGTGCTCAGCCAACCCACCAAATTCCTCAGATGCAATTCCTGTAAGGGGCTTTTTCTCTAATTGCCACCCTTCCAGCTCACTGTAAGTTAGAGGAAAGCAGAGGTGGAAGATTTGGCACAATGTGATCAAGATCAATGAATAATACATGCCTTGGCAAAACCTTCACTTTCCTCTCCAATAGATTTCCACTGTTTTCAAGCTTTGCTGACTAATCTTTCTAGTCAGCCCTGTCCTTCAAGGACGTTTCAGACTGAAGGGAATGACTGCATCAGTTCTCACAATAGTGTCTGGGGTTTTTTGTAGACATTGGTGATTATTTGTGCTAATACTGGAGAGAGAAATTCCTCTGTGAAGAAAGAGAATTGTTTTTGACTGCCTTTATGGTGACACCAAGGCTGCTCTTCTAATCTGTAGCATGGAAGCAGAGTGACCCTATGAACAACCAGAAAAGCCTAAGCTGTAGTGGTGGGTTTGATGACTGATTTGTCGTGTGACTCGTGTTGTGTGATGTTGAGTGATCTGCTCTCTGCCCATTACAGAAGATAGATTTCGGGGCAGTGCCTTAGTCTTCTGTCTCTTTCCTCATTGCTTGTTTAGGCAGCACGCTAGAATATATTATGTAGGGTAGTGTATTAGGCCTGGTTACTAAAGCTTGTCTGGTGTTCTTGTTCCTGCTGTCTTCACAGAGTGAATTGGATTTATTCTGATTCATAGAATCATAGAATCATAGAATA